AACCAAGCACAGACCCCCAGGGAGACATTCAAAGGAAGGGCCCTGCTCCTGCTGCTGGGAGTTCCACTTCCATCTGCTGGTTTTCCTTTCTTCCTTTTCCGGTATCACAGAGCCTTCAGCCTTGACTTCTCCCATACTGATACTTACAGTGCAGGATAAATGACTCATGTAAGCAATCTATGGAAATTAACCTTTAAGCACCACAGATATTATCAAAAGGAGTGCACAATTAACAAGTCTTTAAGGTTTCTTGCAGCCATAAAGGGAGGACTTGCCATCCCTGCATGAGCCCCAGGTCTGCCACAATTAATGCTGCACAAACACGTGTCTCCTTGCACACTCAGGTCTTGAGTTGGCTTTGGCAAGGCAGCAAAGCCCTAAAGGTTATACTGACAAAACTAAACCATTCCCAATTCTTGGATACCACCAGAACTGACTCCACCAACTCCTTCCTAGCACAGGCAAACTACTCTTCCCAAATTATGGTGCTGCTTCTCCCAGTTCCATTTCTAGGAAAATATCTTCAAGAATCTGTACAACAGCACTGTCATTTCTGCAAACCAGAGCAGGCTTTCAGCCCTTCTTGGCACTGCTCTGAGATGCTCCAATGAACTTCTAAAGCATTAAGACTTCATCACTGGCACAAAACAGTATTATTTCCTAATATGATATAAAGTAATAGCTGTCAATTAAACCAATATTCTGGTGTCTTCCTTTTAAAGCATTATTTTGCTTTGTCACTAATTTGCACAATACAGTAATTTCATATTACTTTCCCAGCTCTGAGCATGAATTAGCTCTGTGTTACTGTCACTGGCTCTGATCAGCCATTTTATCTTTTTCCAGCTCATAACACAGGCCTATAGAATGGATGACAAGGAAATTCACGCTGATGAATATAATTTCAAACAAATTACTCAAATAAATCGTGCTGCATCTTTTTAAGATAGCCATTTCCCCAAATGTTCTCTCTTATGCACGATGTGTTTGGCAGTGGTGCTCTTTAGGCATCAGGTATCATCTAAAATAAAGCATAACAGATTTCTTCTAAAAATATGCCACTTAAAAAAATTATGCTGCAAATGTTAACGGCTGTGCTGAAAATGTATCAAAGCAAATCAGCACACAGACAAGGGGGAACAGATTCCATCTGCTAATGGCCACATTCACAACTCCAAAAGTCTTGGGAATGGGATATTGTATGGAGCACAGCTCTGAGGGCAGAACCCAACTAGCACACTGGAAAAGTAATTCTATGATTAAAAAGAAACAATTGGAAAATGAAATAATATTACATTGCATGTCATTTCTCTGATGTACTCCAAAAAAGGTATCAGCCTAAAAAAGAATATATTAAAGAAATTAAGTCAAATAATTAGCAAGGAATCTTAGCTTGTGAAGCTGGTGAGCAGCTGCATTCAAACATTCTCCTTCCATGTTGGCTGTCATTAAATGTTACCATGAAGGTATAAGAATACAAGAAATTTATCAACAGCAGAACTATAGAAATTTATCTTAGCGGAAAACTGTTCCTATGCAACTGAATAATTAGTTTCACATAAGTCACTCAGCCTGTGACTGCTGTCTTGATCCCCTTTTGTCTAATTCTTGTTAAATCCCTATTCAGCCATCACTCAGCTCCAAGATTATAGGATTGCATAATAAACAAAATAACTAGTTTCCAAACTAGTAATACACCAAAACATATTTCCTGGAATATGCTTTTTTACAACTTCTATTTTGTATTCTCTCATGACTGAGAACTCAGCTTGCATGTATAAGAGCATTTGAAGAGAGGGTAATTTTATAAAACTAAATTCATGCTCATTTAGAAGGGCTAAATGAACAAGTTTTGATGCATATACCAGAATGTCTGCATCAGCTAAGTCAGTCCATTTGTACTGACATGCATCCCAGAAAAATTACATATAGGTGGAACATATTATCCTTCAGACTTGTTAAATAAGGACCACTACTGAAATGGGGTAATTCCCTTTGGCAGGGCACCTAAGGCACTGCAGAGCACACTGGCACTCTCTGCTCCACACCAGCACTGGCACAGACTGGTAGCACTGAAAACAAGACACATGTCAGCTGAGGCCTTTAAAACAAACTCATTAAAATGGCACAATCTCTTTAGTCTTGAATTATGAATCAGGAGCACAGAATGCCCACAGGCCTAACCTTACATTCTCTGTAAACCAACAGATTCAAAACCTGCAGAAAGCCAATTTAATACCTTTTCTTTTTCCTGCTGCAAGATTCAAAATCCTTGTGAAAATGGCAGTCACTGTTTAATTTTCCAGAGGTAATGAAGATATAGTAACAAGAGACGAACTCACAACTCAGAATCATTCCTCTCCAAGCACAGGCACACCACATGTGAGACCGCAGGGAGGACGAGCACACAAGAGACGACCGGGTCCTTTGCAGTACAACGATGGGCACTGGCACAAGCAAACGGGCTCATACGTACCTTTGGCTTTCAGCGTGAGCTGAAGTGTCAGAGTCACAGAGGAATTTAGCTAAAGAAACTGGCACCACCAGTCTGACATGACTCACATCTACACACAACCCATTGTCAGAAGGTAGGAAGTGACGATTGCAGACTCTGGGCAGCGATTTCCCAAGACTCGGTCTCTACTGGGGAAGCTGAGAGAGGATTCTGTCAGCTCAGCCGGTAGAGGGAGCTGCCCTGAGTGAGCAATGGTTGCCATGAGATGGAGGGCAAGGTCTGTAACTTCACCTCAGGTGCCTTCACCACCTCATCCTGATTCCCCCAGCTGCCACCTCCTTTAAGGTAAAAGGGAAAAAAACAACAGTTTTGAAGCGACTCCTCTGAATGCTCTACAAATGACGCTGTGTTCATATAAACAATTAACCAGAGAGATGGGATGAGATGATGAGGGCAACTTCTGGTGGGAGGACAGTGAGGAGAGAGAGGCCAGCAGACTCTTGGAGCTGTAGTGCACAGGGGGCAGCACCAGAGCTCATCTTTCCCCAGAGGGCAGCAGGGCTTCTGCTGGGCTGGGGCAGGGCCTGGTGGGTGATGGGGGTGTGCTGGGAAGGCACTGCCTGTCTGCCGCAACTGCGCCGCAGTGCAGTCTGCAGTACTCAGGGCCTACAGAACTACCTCAAAGGAAAAGCCACTTTGCAACAAAAAAGCCCTCTGATTTACCACACCTCTAGAAACAGCCACTAACCCCTTCCCCAGTTCTCTTAGTTTAGTCTTCTGTGGGAGGTCTTCTACATTCCATGTTCTCCTCTCTGGGGACTTTTGCCAGCTGAGCTGTGCCCCAAGAGTTGATGACTATAGATCACCACAGCTGTTACAACAAACTACAGACAGACATCACTTAGGACTAAACTAGCAAAACACACATTATTGTGTTTGCTCCCCTTCCTTCTTCTCTGGGTACCAACTCATGTTACCACACCACCACAGACTCCACTCCCTCAACATTGCCTGACCAGGCCGAGGCCCTGCCAAATAGACAGCATCGTTCTTTGTAAAACATCTTCCAGCACAAGCAAAAATAGAAAGATGGCCCTGCCCTAATTATGACCATTTAAAAAGCCCTCTTTAGTTTCCTTAGGGCTGTAAGTGTTATTGGCTGGGTTTAATTCAATGAACTTGAAGCAATGAAGTTCATTGAAGCTGGTTTATATGAAGAGTTTTCTTTCAGGGAGGCAGCATTAGACAATGAGGTGCTGGATCCCAGGAGGATATGAAACGTTTAATATACTGGCAAATATGACATATAAAAATGTTCTGTGAAGGATGAGCAGCAGAGCTAAAAAGCATACAAAAGTTTGTGCTCATCTCCAGGCTGCTGCTGAGCACTGCAGACCTCCAGCTACTGAATCAATCCAAATTAAAGAGCTTTTCCTTCCTTCAGTATTACACAGTGGCTTTTGCAAGCAGCAGACATGACACGCTGAGCAACTTCCTATGTAGCCAACTGTATGCAACTCATATTAATAGATTGCAGCAGTAATTTGCAGTAATTGTCCGAAACTGCAGTTTACTGTTATTATTGATTTTGGACCAAATCTGAAGCATTTTTATTGGAGAGATTAGGAGTTATTGTTCCCTAAAGATCTGGTTTTACTAGATGTGAGAGAGTGTCACTACAAAAATGAATTTCAGTACTTTACAGTATAACAGTGTCATTTAAATTAATTTTCCTGGTAATTCCTGGACTCACAGTGACCAACAGCACCCAGCCAACTTAGCTGTAGTTTAACCTTGCTGGGTTAAAGACTGCAGAAACTGCCAGTCCTAAAGGGCAAAGCTGACAAGAGGAAAGCACACTAGTTAACATTTGCAATACATGGACTCATTGAAGCAACTTTGTGAAGGTACAGTACAGACTGCCTGGAAGGCTAGGAGAAGCCTCAGCTCAGCAGAAGGCAGTGATAAGGTTTCCACTACTGCCTCTGGAGCCAGATTTGAGTCCACATCTGTATCAAAGGCATGTCAAACACAGATATGGGGCTCCTGCACAGGAGTGTGAAGAAGATTGGTCAGTACAAAAGGTGACATTTGAATACTCCAGGCAAAATTTCCAAAACCTCTCCAAAAGGGCAAAGGAAACTGAAGCTCTTTCACCTCTAGGTCTGTACTGGCACAGTTAGTCCTGGCCAAAAAAAGTCTCATAAACCCTTGCCCTCAGGGGTTGGAACAGTGACCAGAGGTGATCATTGGTTTCTTGAACAGTTACCTCACTGATTTACTCTGCGTAGGTCCCATCAATACTAGACTTTTTATCTGTTAGTTAAATAAGGTTTCCAAGCTTGAACAAACCCGCTGATGATATTAAATAAGACCGTTTCTTTGAAAGAGCTACTGAGCAAGAAAAAAGTTTTTTTCCCCATCACAATTAGCGAAATAGTTTTCATCTGCTTTCTTTTTGATTTTTTTTTCTTGAGAAGCAAAATAACAGCCTTGCCGATTACTCTTTGCTAAGGTACCCGATTGTGGTGACATTGAGGCTGACCTTGGAGTCACCTCCCCCGCTGCCGCACTCTCCTTTGTCGTACCACCATTTGTTTTTCAATTTGTCCAAGAGGCCTTGCTCATTCAGTTTTAATACTGCCAGGTTAACAGCATTTCTTGAAACGATAAAACATAACTTGTAAGAAAAAATGCACAAATGCTTAGGAAATCGTAACGTATAAAAAAAGGAGCACAAGAGGACAAATTGGCTAAAATTTCACAGAACGTGGAGCTACCAAAATGTCTGTACAGCAAATACAGGGTTAAATATTGGAAGGTGGCATGGAGGATAACATTTGCTCAAAACTGAAGTGTGCGGGATGGGGAAATCGTCTTTGAGAAAAAAAGTAACAAGAACACCACATCATGCAGTTAACATTCGTCACATATGGCACGTTAACTTGGCTTTTACCATTTAAATTGAAAAAGCCATTGAACTGTAAAATTAAAACAGCAACAAACAATCAGAGAGGACAACACGAAGAGAACACAAAAAAATGGATGCATTAAATAAATGAAACCATAATTTACCGTCTTATTTAACTCCATGGAATATTGAAGATTTTAAACTTTTAAGTTACCTCAAAATCCACAAGAAAGAAAATGACAACACAATACATCAGGGTAGGTGGAATACTATAACAACATGGATATTGTTATATTATTCCACCCACCTTAATGCTGAGCCTTTGGGGGTTGCTACACCATAGCCCTTGGAATCCAGGTTTCCTCCAACTTTCATGGTGTCGCAGGGCTTGCGCTGCTCGATGTACTCATTCATCGTGGACTCCAGCAGGAAGGCAAATTTCCCCTTGGACTTCCGCACCCTCGCCACTCCATCCGCTGTCGTCTTGGTGAACACTGAGGGCTCGGCTGACTTCATGTATGACCACATTTTCTCATAGACAGCTATTTTTGACCTCTGGGAGAGATGAAAGGAGGGAAATGAAGAGTCACATTGGCAAGACTGAGCTCCTTGGGCTTAGCTGGCTTAGCTTCCTGTAACTGATTAAGGCTAACAGACAAAAAGTCAAGGTAGCTCGGAGAGAGAGACATTGCTCCCTGAACAAAGACTAAATGACAAAATGTTTGGGGAGGGAGAAGCATACCTCAGACATTTATTCTACTGATTGCTGAGTAACTGGCAGCCTTGGAATGAGCAACGGTGTGTGCCCATCCCAGCCTTGGCTCCTGTTCTGTGCTGGGTTTACCTGCCCGTGTACTGCTCTGCTACTGAGCCAGAGGGAGGATGGGAAATCCCAGCTCATCCATCATGGCAAACAGATGCAAAAAGAGCCTCTCCTCTTCACACAAATCCTCAGCATTGTTTTTTTTTTACGCTAACTGCAGCTAGGAAGGGCTGGCATTTGCTTATTACAAGTTTTCAACAAGGCAGGAGTGTGCTTTTCACAGTGGTGATGGCAGGTCTATGATACAGGAGACCATGATATTCTAGTGGCTGCCAATAGAGATGCTCAAACAAGGGATATAAATAGTAATTACAAAATATTTTATGAATCAATAGTCAAATATTCAGAATTTGGTTTCTCGTTTTCCTAAAAGACAGCAATTACAAGTATTAGCAATAAGCTGAAAAAATCATGGTTAACTGCCTGTCACCCATCTCTATTTTTTTCTGATTCCCCTGTTTCAAGACTGAGCAAACCCTAACAACCTCTAGCTCAGCATACAAGCTTTGCAAACCTGGAAATGTTTAGAAATGTGTTATTTCCCTTTCTCGCTCTTCCCCACCAGTAACATTTAAGCCACCCTCAGATCTCAAAGCCACCTCCAGACTGTCAAGAATTTGTATCCTGGACTACCGGTTAAACTTTCCTGCTTGGTCAAAAGAAGGAAGTAATGCCAACTGCATTTCTCCAAAGTCTATAAATCCTAAGGATTTATGTAAGACTTTCAGTCCAAGTTGTGGGTATCTTGAATTTATGCCTCCTATTCCTTGTCAGTTCCCTGTCCACAGCTTTCCTTGAAGAATAGGAATGAAGCAGGCAGTAGCTAAATCTAGTTCAAATTTAGCAAACTGCGGTGGAAGACTGCTAATGTCCATCAGCTTGATGATCAAGACATGTTTCCTCCTCATTCAGGACAATTTAATGCATTTTGAATAATGTAATGCTTAACAACTAGCCTCCAAACACTTCACAGGGAGTAAGCCCTCCCTGCCCTGCTCCTCAGATTAATATGCTCAGCTGGTGTTGCTACGGTGGAAAGAGAGGACCACAGAAGGCAGGATTTTATTTTATCATTACTGATGAACTGAAAAACAACCAAAAATGCAAAACAATTAGAATCAGCCCATCTGACAACAGGAAATCAGAGAGACATCAATACAGCCCAGTTACAAGAGGGGCTGGCTGGGTGGCAGATGTGAAAAACAAGTCAGAGAGAGCATCTCCTGGCTAAAGAGGGGCTGTAAAGAGGAGTTGTTTGTCCAGAATCAGGAAAAAGAAGGATGTAACTGGGGCTTGGAATGGTCCTTACACAGCTGAAAGAACCTGGATTTTCCTGACCTTCCCCTGCAACAGCAAAACTGGATAGCCTGAGATGAGGATGGTAGCTCTGAAGCTGAGTGGGGAGTGCAGCAGGGACTGCCTGGCAAGGAGTGCTGAGCCTCAGCTGACTGCAGGACCATGGATTCTGCCCAAAGAGGGAACCTCACTGGGGCTCAGGGCCAGGCACCCATGGGCTGGCAGCCAGAACACCCAATAGCCACTATCACTGCCTGCTTGAGGTGCCCTCTCCGAGCACACTGAGTTGGTGCTCCTGCTTTTCCAACAATCCACTTAATGGATGTGGGCATTTCCTCATCTCCTGCCCTGTCGGAAGCTGCCCAGGGCACTGCATGACTCCCAGGAACCTGCCAGAGGGGCTGCCGAGATTTCAGGGACACCAGAAGCACCAGGAGGTGGTGACTGTCACGTCTCAGTGGCTGCCACCACCCCTGTGCCCTGTGGACAGCAGAGCAGCGTGACAGCGGTGCACCTATGCAGGTGGCACTGCAGGCAGTGTCCCAGACACTGCCCATGGCCAGCCTGCCAGCCCTTCCTGTGCAGCTCTCTTGGGCAGAAAGGGAACATAAAACAGCCTGGCTGGCCAACACAGAGACAGCAGGAGCAGTAGCTATCCTGGAGTGCCTTAGTTTCAAGGTTCTTTTACTTACAGCCTTCATCTTAACATAAATAACACAAACACACCTAGCCATTTATATTTGCAAATAGGCACCCAAGGGACAAAAAGAAGGTAGAAAACCGTCTTTACTCTTTATACCTCTCAGCAAGCTTAAGTCGTGCACCTTCCAAATTGTGTTTGCGCTATGTATACTTTTGCTTGTTTTCCTCTGCAGTGTGCCGTTAATTACCCAGATAAAACAGATTTTCTTTTCCTTTCAGTCTTTTATCTCACACGTGAATTATCTGTCTGTAATAAGTTCTTTCATACTCTTTCCACCTGGCCTGACTACCTGAAAGCAATGGCCAGTACATCTGTGCATTGTTAATAATGACAGTTATCTGCTGAGTGCCAACAGCATGCTCAGGGCTGCACAAGGTCCAAACAAAGCATGTTCCCTGCTCCAAGGGCAAAGGGTGAATATCATCATTCATGCTTCAGAAAATCAAATTCTACAACTGAAAATCTGATCTCTTTTCTACTTCAACAAATAGCCTAAGCTTTATAGTCTGTTGCCTTCATTTAACTCTTCTGGATGATGTAGTTAAAAATCAGTTTCCGTTTCTATATGGTCATTGCCCACCTCTTCTTCTGCCAAGTGGGACTTTCATAATATCTTTTTATTATCAAATTAACTAAATAAGAATAGCAGTCAGATCTAGTAGAAGTAGACAAAAATTTAAGCTAGAAAAGAACAAAGCATGGGTTGACTGGGAAAGGTTACTCTAAAATGCATCACGCATGTGTTGGTTTTGGAGCACAGTCAGGCTGAGGATCCCAGGGGTCCTGAGAGAGAGGACCAGGGATGTGATGGGCTCTGGCCACTAAGACCTGCTTGGTTAGTGCTGCTTTTTGCAGCCATTCACCCAAATTCATAATAAGGTGAAAGTAATTACTTATGATGAGGCCTCTTGGAGAAAGGGACAGTGCCACCAGATGAGCTGTGATACCTGCACATGTGCTCATCAATGCTTGAGGGCATTTTCTGATCCTAGAGCCATATTTTAAACTTGCTCAATGCCATGAAACAACCAGTTAATTAAAGTTGGTCAAAGATGCAATGGGATGAAATGACAGATGGTATTTTTAGTAAGTGTTTCTTTTCCCAATTTTCCAATTGCCTTAACAAAACCCAACCACCCCAGAAGCCCCTAAAATACTTTAAGAAAATAAAAATGTCTTTCCTAACTACGAAGCTCCAAATTCTGTGTTGAAAGAACATTCTTACCCATCTGTCCCCCTCTGCAGACATTCACACTGCCTCCCTCTCCCAGCCCCCCTAGGAGTCTGACACCCATGAGAGGGGCCAGACAGCAGAAGCAGCCACAGAGAAAGGATTTACACTCCAAAATAAGAAAAGGTCTGACAGATCTGCACTGTTGCTGGAGTTCAGTGGCAGTAAAACATTTTCCCTGTCAATAAAGTGTAACTTTTAAGGAGATACTTAGGAAAAAAAACCTTAAAAGCAAAGATTTAAGCCAATTCAAAGCCCATAACTGCAGTAACTTCCTATGCTCTGCAACTCCCATTTCTTTGATATTGCTCTCCAGAAGTCCGCCACACACATTTCCTCAGGATTTCAAGGGGACATTATTATAATTTTTTTCTTAAAAGCATCATTTTCAGTGTTTCATCCAGGTCCTGAGACACATTAAAGCATATTTTCATTATCGCAGCCTTACTGCAGATATAAATAGAACTGGCCTTTGCTTTGTCAATAATGCTGGCTTTTTTTTTTTTTCTTTATTTGGATATCTTTATGCAGAAGTATGAGCCACAAACACCACAGCCAAGGGTGCAGGCAGCTCCCTTCTGTGTCAGCAGAGCCAGCAGCTCTTATGCCAAGGACTCACTTCACTTGGCCCATTACTAATCAGCACCTAAACACACATTGCTTCTGAGTAGCAATGCATTAATTTGAAAAGAAGATGCCAATTCCATCAGTCCACAATTTTAATACTGTCTTTCATTCTAATTCTCCTAGTTTTGATGTGTCGTTAGCTCAAGCAGTGAAATGAAAAATCAGCCAGAGTGTGTGGTAGCATCCAAAAGCATGGCCAGTCAGGGCTGGGTGAGTGATACAGGCACGGGAAGGAGGCAAGTTTGCTTCTCAGTTGCAGCCATTTCTTCAACCCATCCAACAACAAAAAACCCAGCAACCACAAATGTGGCTCCAGCTGAGCTAGACCGGGTGTCTTCGTTTCACTTTTGCACATTCCAAATCACCTAGAGATGCCTAGCAAACACCAGCACATCTTGGACAATTCCTTAACATTGGTTAAATTTAGCTCTAAAATATGAAGCCTTCTCCCAATGACCAAATTCCCTTCCCCCTCTGCAGACATCTGTCTCACACTTCTGCTAAAAGTGACATTGTATCACCTCCTCCACTACTGAGTAGGGGTGAAGCTGCTGTGTTTTAAGGAAGCAACATTTCTCCTTTGTAGTTAAAGTACATTATAGGGACGTCCTTTACCTATTTTAGAATGTTTAACTCTCCCTACCACCTCCTCCGCAACCTGAAGGTCTTCTTCAAAACGTCTCCTTGTGTACCCCATTGGGGTATTTTATTAAAAATTACTAAAATGGTCCTTAATATCTTATGACAGGAACCAGGAAGTGATTTCCCAGCAGTCAAGCTCAAATTGTTCTCCTATAGGTGAGGGTTGCTGATCATCCAGTCATGAGCCAAATTTTATTTTAAAAATCCTGTTATATATTCTGTTTTATACTTTA